CCGTTTGCCTTAGACTGGAGATTTCTTGTGCTTAGTGTGTTCTTACGGTCTGGTTTTATCATTTTTATGTCTCCGCTCCCGTTTAATAGACTTAGGGCAGTAAGACGGGAGGGCGGTGTCGATCAGTTGCTGTGTAGGCGATGAGTTCTTGCTTCCACTCTGCTGTGGGTATTTTGAAGACAGATTTCCAAGCTTGTTAGAATCGTGTGTGAGATCTAGCTGCTTTCCCATCCTTGGCTACCTACCCCAGAAACGTCTATGGCTGGGTAGTTGAATTCTGGAAAGGTGAGGTATCCGTCTGAATGTTTTTCCATCACATAATCTGTTTCCTTTTCTCTATCTCCATCCATCCATCCATCCATCCATCCATCCATCCATCCATCCATCCATCCATCCATCCCCTTCTCTCTCTCTCTCTCTCTCTCTCTCTCTCTCTCTCTCTCTCTCTCATAATATGACGGTTCCTGGAATCATTAAAATGAATGGAACACATTTGTCCACAGTGAAACCAAAACAGTGGTCAAAAATCATCTTCGAAATGGATGTGACCATCCCCTCTGCTATATCCTAGGCCAGCCCTCAGCACCTAGAGTAATGACATAGTTCTAGAAGGGTCCCTTATACCTCCCTTTCAGATGAATATACCGGAAGGGGCTTTCCTAATCAGCTTGGTATGGGTGCTCTCCTCCCCCCCCCGCTGTCATTCCCACCCTCCTGGGTGTCCCTCCTTCTAGGGGACACCAGCCTTCCACTCTCCACTGCAGTGAACACCTCTCCGCCTTTGCAGGTGAACTTGAATTTGGGAGGCAACATAGCATCATAGAGCCTGGATCCTGGAGGGAGGCCAACCTACGTCCACGCTTCACCACCCGGCACTCTCTGACCCTGGACAAGGGACACCGGTCTTTGAGCCTTAGTCTCCTGTCCTTAGGAAGGAGTCTGGTTGGATTTAATCAGCACAGTTCCCGGTGCGAGGGATACGCTTCATCAGTGGGCCCTCCCTCCGTGCCTTTGAGTAATACTGCGCACATGTGGCACCGTGTACACAAGACGGCTGTGCCTCCTTGACTACAGAATTCTCGTATTCTGTTGCACACACCCCATAATGCTGGGAACACCAGAGAAAAAAATGCTAGCTTTTCCACATGCACTTTTGGCCTCCATTTTCCATTATTCCCCAATGAGGATCAATTCATTTGAGGCCAGTAGCAGGAAAAAAAAAAAGTAGATGAGGCTTTTCAGGTGAGATCCGAATGCCAACTCTTCTTACTGCTTTCACTACCACATAGTGGTCAATCAGGAAACTGTAGGGCTCTCAACGCTGGGAAATTGCTGCTCCTGCTGCAGGGGAGATATTTGCTGTTGAGAGAATTTGGTCTCTTGTATGCATAGCAGGAAGAAAGCAGAAACCCGTAAGAGCTGTAGCAGGTGACAGAACAGAGGACATGGCCAAATGGGAAAAATACAGTTCGCAACACATTGAAAGCTTAAAGACAAAGAATTTTTATAGGGATCCAGGAGAGTTGCATGCATTTTTCTGTTGTCCGTTTTATTGACTGTTTCTCTTTGCATCCCTCAACCATTTTACTTCTCGCTTCTACCCCACTGGAGGACAACTCAGGGACAAACTGAACGTTAGGCCAAACGGTCGGAATGGAAAGGGGCCTCAGCTTGCATGCCCGTGTCTCTACCGGCCTCATTAGCCTCTAACACCAGTATTTCTTTGGGAATGATCTGAAAAAAAAGTACAGATCTGCCTTACCTCCAAATTATTTATGAAACTCTCAGTGACTGGTTTGGGTGGTGGGGTTGTTGGTAACTCTGGTTTGAGTGGCAACCAACCATGTGCACACAAAGTTCCATCTGTCATTCGGAGTGAGATTTTGGAGTTGACCAGTGGTTTATTGGCGTGTATCCTGATAGCTCAGGAGTCTCTCATTTTAGTTGATGTGTGTGCTATAAGTTGCTTTCTTTTAAGAACTTTTAAATAACTTTTATTTTTTTAACTTTCAAATAATTTTAAACTTGCAAAGAAAGTCACAAAAAGTACCAAGAGCCCTGCATACCCTTCACCCAACTTCCCCAAAGGTTAACTTCTCTCCTAAGCATCATACTATGTCAAAACTGTAACGTTAACACTGAGGCAGTACTCACATTGGCCGTATCTCTTCAGTTTCCTTGAAGCTGGGACCATCTCTTAGTCACTTTACGCCTTTGAAGCATACGGACCAGTTATTATTAATTACTATTATTTTATCCTTACTTGAGGGATATGTTTATTGATTTTAGAGAGCGAGGAGGGGAGAGAAAGAGAGAGAGAAACATCAGTGGGTTGCCTGCTGTACGTGTCCCAAGGAGGGATGGAACCTGCAACCTAGGTATAAGCCCCGACCGGGAATTGAACCTGCAACCTTTAGGCATAGGGGAAGGACACTCCAACCCACCGTGCCACCCGGCCAGGGCCGGACCAGTTATTTTGTTAGAACATCCTTCAAGTTGAGTTTGTGCTTCCTCCTGATTAAATCCAGGTTACAGAGTTTTACAGCGAGAAGATCACAGCAGTGCCACCGTGCCCTTCCCAGTGTGTCCTCTCAGGAGACACATGACTGGGCTTGTGATGTTAATTTTCCCCACAACTTTAATCGCTTGGTTAAGGTGGCCTCGCCAGGTCCCTCCATCATCATTACTTTTCTCCCCCCCCTTGGTAATGAGGAAGCATCTTTTTGGGGGGTAGACTGGAGACTGTCCTGATCACACAGTTTCTCCTGATTTCTTCACCTACCAATTTTAACACCCCTTACCCCGATGTTTGCCAAATGGTGATTTTTTAAATTTTTATTTTCTATTTCTGTTTCCTACACTTACTAATTGGAATTCTCCTCTGAGGGCTTTATGTGTTTTTAAAACGAAGGGGACAGTAAAACTTCTTAAATAGCGGTAGCAGCTCCACTTTTTCTGGGGAGAGGACAATTAACGAATGACACGCAGGCGAAAACCCCGCAGAAGCCGGAGAAACCTCAATCGTGGATGTTATTTCAAATGTCGCTGCCATTTTGTCCTGCCGAGAAAGGGAGAGAAGAAGGGAGGAGATCGCAACTGCAGAGGGGAGGGGAGAAAGAAAGGAAAAAAAAAAAAAAGCAAAAAAAAAAAGCGCCATTAGTTTGGGTCCTGGCCGCGAGCCTGTGCGCACACAAAGAGGAGCCCAAATGGAGGGCGCGCTCGGGCGCAGCGCGAGCGCCTTGGGCTCCGGGCGCCCCCACGTCGCCAGACCCGCGTGGGGGGGTCGCTAAGTTGCAATTCGCCGTCGCGTAAAAGTATAAAAATCACTGTCGACTTTCACCGAGAGGGGTTCTTTACAAACAGGCAGTTTTCTTCCATTTTCACCCGACCTAAGCGATCTTTTGTCTCCTTGTGACTTTACCCCCTTGAAAAACGAAAATAAGTGTTTCTTTTCCTCGACTGCAATTTTTCACCCCCCAAAGTCCATGTTATCTCCTCGATGGCGCCGTGAGCGGCCCCGTTTTTTAATATCCCGCAACCCGAGTTTGCAATTTTACGATCGCACTCGGACGTCTGCGATCCCACGAGGCGCGCGCCAGGAGCCCCGTGGCTCTTCCTTTGCCCTCGCTGACATTTAAGAAACTCCTCGCAAATTAAATGTTCGGAGTTTGAAATGTAACTGTTATATAAGAACAAGGGGGGGGGGGG